ATCAAATGTTCAAATCAAATACAAATAGTTGGCTAAAACGTCCCTATTGTGAATTGTACTTGTTGCTCCATCTTTTTTTTTTAATAATTTCTCCTCTGTACCCCGTACTGCAGACGAAGATCTAACTAACTAAAAAAAGTTACACTATTTATAATATACATTTTCTGTCCACTTCAGGGTCCCATAGCTTCGGCCTCTGCAGCTCCTCCCAGTGCTCCTGCCGGTGGTTGTCCTCCTCCACCTCCCCCCGGACCTCCTCCTCCCCCCATGGACATCAGCGGATCCTCTGGCGGCGATGGCGGTCCTGACGAGCGTAACGCTTTGTTCGCCTCCATCAACAAGGGAGCCGACATCACCAAGGGTAGGTAGTCACAGTGACTAATCATAGCTGAGTATTATTGCCGTCTGAATTTTAAAGATGTGGAAGCCTGAATACTTGCGAAAGTTCCTCTTCCCCTCGTGTAAATCATCAGTTATGAATCAGTCTGTAACATTTTGTGTCTGAGCCAGAAACATGTTGTACTGCTGTACTTACAGTTCTCTCTTTCCATGACCTCTCCAGGCCTGAAGCATGTGAGCGACGACCAGAAGACCCACAAGAACCCCACCCTGAGGAGTGGTGCTCCAGTACGTACCGGACCAAAACCCTTTGCTTCCCCGGCTGCCCGACCTGCTGCGTCTGCCACCCCGACCCGCACGCTGCCCCCCGTGCTGGAGCTGGATGGGAAGAAGTGGAAAGTGGTAAGTTGTTGGTTCACTCTCACTAAAACGTTTCCTCTAAGCTAGCTGAGCTCATTTTAACTTGTAGTCAGTTATTCCTGTAAAGGGCAAGTTATTGAGGGGTCAAATTAACTGGAGCAGACTTGTTGTTTTTGTGGCTTTTGGCTGGAATGATTTGTTTATGTAGCAGGCTGAATGAGTCACTGGACCAGAATAACTCTTTATAAATATATTTAACCTTTTTAGAGGATTTTCTTGTTCACTTGTGCTTTCTTCTTGTTGCGCTCTGCAGGAGAACCAAGAGGGAGTGCAGGACCTGGTGATCAGCGACACTGAGCTGAAACAAGTGGTTTATGCCTTCAAGTGTAACAAGAGCACCCTGCAGGTCAAGGGCAAAATCAACTCCATCACTGTAGGTAAGAACAAAAACTGTTGGGATACTGCGTGAGGTGAAAGGGACAGATGAATGTTCTGGAAACAGGAAGTTGGTGTGTTTTGGCATCCAGCTCATGGAGGCAATTATGGTTCTTTCTCAGAGACATTACTCAGTCATAATCTGTACAAACAGACATGACGCATGTTGTGAACAAATCAAAATAAGACAAATACTAACTTAACTAAAAGTACACAAATTATATATATATATATATAGAGATAGAGATCGAGAGAGAGAGAGAGATATCTGTATGTGCTTATAAGTTGAAAACAGATGTTTTAGAATTGCCCTATACCAATACAAAACGTGCAAAAACAGACAAGTCTCTTGCCAGTTACATGACGTGTACGTCTGCTGTCTAAATATGTTTGTTTTTCTCCATCAGACAACTGTAAGAAAATGGGCCTGGTGTTTGATGATGTCGTGGGCATCATAGAGGTCATCAACTGCAAGGACGTCAAGATCCAGGTGTGTACGAGATGCAGTGTAACATCAATCTGAGACTATCAGAGACACATCTGTGGCTCAGCAGACTTCAGTGTTGAGACATTTGGCTGGTTGATTTCTGCTGTTATGTCACTCTTCAGAACATAATGCATTTTTAATGAACATCCTGCTTTATATTCATGTAGTTACACAATGCAAGCGGCTCAGTTTTGTCCACAGAGAAGCTCCACTGCTGCATTTAGATTCAGCCCTTTACTTGGTAGCACAGTAGTTAATCAGTGCAGAGAAATGTCACATACAGCAGGAAATAAATCAAACCCTTCGTACCAACATGTTGTTAATCAGCAGCCATCACATGTACTTATGGGGAGGGAATCTTTGTTTCCTTTTGTCTCCAGGTCATGGGTAAGGTTCCCACTATCTCCATCAACAAGACGGACGGTTGCCATGTCTACCTGAGCAAAGACTCTCTGAGCTGCGAGATCGTCAGCGCCAAAAGCTCAGAGATGAACGTCCTGGTACCCAACAAAGACGGAGAATTTGTGAGTATCCTGTCATTACATTTAAAGGAATGTTCCGTATTTTTCCTATTGTCAACAAATCTCAGGACCTCAGGAAAAGACCAAATGAATCATATTATATGTTATATATACAAATAACAATTCTTTATATACAAAGGTCTGATACAACTTATTCCTCTGGCTATAGAGCTTCATTGTTGTCTAAAAACTATTAAAAACACAGTAAGCCACATCACTCCCACCATGAACACTAGTTTATTTTGAGTTAATCGCACTTTCAACATCCTGCAAATGTAAATATGTTGCAGCCTCCCTCTGGACGAGCCCACTGACTTCCTGTTCGCTCTCCTCACATTGACATAATGGCATGAAATAATTTCTTCATACATCTTTTCTGGGCTTTTGAGATTTTATTGTCCTGAATGGACCAAATTCTAATTATAAAACAAGTCATTTCAAGGTGTTTGTGACACTGCAGTTTTACAGCCGCTCCTTTCCTGATGATTGTGTACGAGGGGTGGGGGCGGAAGGATATTTGGGCTGTGTGCGTCATGTGATAGTGCACTAATGAGGGTGGCCATTATGCCAAAACCTGCCTCACAGTGCTGATCCTCTAGGCTTTGGAAAATACTCACTAGGATATCAAATCCACCGCTGAAAATAGTCCCCAGCAAATACATTATCTCCTCCTCTGTGAGTAACATTCGCTGAAAACTACAGTGTGCAGAACTTCTAGGAAATGTTTTTGAAAACTGAAACTATATTTGTGAACCATTGTTAAAGATTGACGTCTTCAGTGGGAACCAGTGAGAGCCACAGACAGAATAAGTCAGAAAGCATTAAGAGACGGACAAACAACTATTGAGTTTAAAATATAAAAAACCCACAGCATGTGAAATACACATTTTAACCCGACTTCTCTCTCTCTTCCTCTTTCAGACGGAGATCCCAGTTCCTGAGCAGTTCAAGACCGTCTGGGACGGCAATAAGCTTGTTACCACAGCAACAGAGATCGCCGGATAAACGGGGGCAGCATGTGAAATGGCCGCCCCTCCTCGACACCATCCCCACCCTTTTTTTGCAAATGCCTTCCTGACTGATCCACCACCCCACCAGCTAACTCTCACACTGTAGACTGAGAATTGGACCTCATGCGTTATATCTCCCGCCCTCCTCCCTCTTATCAGCCAATCACAGCTTAAGCTGTCCCTTCCGTAAGCCAATGAGAGGACTGCTCACTTTTATCTGGAGCAAAATCCTCCAGCCAATCAGCAGGGAGCAGCTTGTCATTCAAATTGGGTTTTCCCTGTGAGCCAGTGAGCACTTTTTCGAAAACATTCATGAGTTTTGCCAATAGCTGGGATGCTCTGTATATTTTTTATCTACCTGGATAATGCTGAGCTAAATTTAACATGTAGAATAGCCAATATGGGAACAGGGATATTGATTCCTCTGCAACAAAAGCACTGCAGCCAATCAGGATGCTTCAGGCTGCTCTTTTATTCTTTCTCCTCTTCCTGGTCAGGAGGGGCTGGTGTGTTTTTGTTTTTTTTAAAGTTGTGGCCTGATAGGTTTCTGTTCCATTATATGCAACTCAATGGTGAAGCACTTGTAAAAACACCATCCTTTTACAGAGGATAATGGCATCCATATCACCTCCGCTGATGTTAACAATATTAACATTCATAGTGGATAATATGAAATGTCAGCACTCTCAGAGCACAGTAAAAAAAAGAGTTGCGTCACAAGACCACTGTCAATTTCACATCATGAAACTTGATTTAAAATAGCAGGAAAATGATCATTCTACGTGCTTTCCACTTAAACCCACACATAGGACATTCCCGAGTATTAAAGAGAAACATTCCATATAAGGAGGCGTGTAAGAAAAAGTTTGCGATTTAAAGAGCAAAAAGAGATGTTGATACAAAGTGGAAGACAAAGAAGAGACTTAAGGACATAATCATTGATTGTTAAATGCTTCACCGCAGTCTCTAGATCTGAAATATCTGCTGTAATCATCTGTATAGATATGAATAATTATTGACTAGTCTTAAAACATTAGCCCGACCATCAGTGTCTCTCCACTCGCTCCTAGCCACGTCTGCACTCTTTGGTTATCTTCGGCTCTTGAAGCTGTGAAGCTCTTCGCTGAATTTTCTTTTATATTGTCTCTTTCTTTTACCTCTTGTGTTTTTTTTTTTTGGGTCCAAAATCAGAATTCAGCTCATTAGTATTGGAGACGTCATTAAAAATGTTGCAATAAAATGTCTTTTGGTTTGTCTTTATTGGATTTAAAGGTGTAATCTGTACATTTACAGTTAAACAGAAAAAAACATTTTTAAAAAGTCTCATCCAACATTTCTCAAAACAATCTGACCTCATCAGAACAGCTCACATTGGAAATTACACTAATAATCTAATGTTGGTAAAAACAGTAAACTCGCACACAAATTAGCTGCTAAAATTAACAAAGCATTATAAAACAGAATCCACATGCTAAAAGTGATCAGTGCAGAATGAATGAATTAGGTGCTTTTTGCATCCCTGCTCTGGTTGTTTACTGTTAACGTGCATTATATTGCTTTAGAGACAGAATTTGTATTTGTTGAAGTCCGATATATTTTCTCTGAGACGACTGAAGGGTTTTAGTGTAAAAAAGGCAGCAGGTGAGCGGTGAACCACTCTCTGGTCAGCTGGAGGTGGTCTCCCTCACTAGACAGAAAAACCAGCTTTCCCGCCTTCTCCATCGCTGCCAGCCCCAGACGATCCTGCAAGTGGACACACATACACACACAATTTAGACCTTCTTGATTTAAAGAAAATATAAAGTATATCAGAAAATGGTGAAAACTTTCCCAAAGGCCAAGATCACGTCCTTAAAAGTCTTATATCCACAACCCATAGATATTTAGTTTATTGTTAGAAGATTAAAACCAGAAAATATTCAGATTTGATGGGTTGAAATCAGAGAATTGGGATATTTTTTATTAAATATTTACCTTAAAATGATTATAAAATATTAGTTAATGGATTAATCATTGCAGCTCTAGTGTCCACAGGTTAAAGAAACGTGTTGTAATGTGTCAATAAACACTGTTACCTCTTTGTAGAGAACGCTCTCCTGTAGAGTTTCGGTCTCTTTGGCCTGGCCGGTTTTCAGGAAGCCGAACCACTACAGCAAGAATCAGGACAAGAACGTTTGTGACGCTGCTTTATTATATATAAAAACTTTATATTGTTCAGGAAGTAACAGCAGTTTTTACAAAAGTGCGTTTGGTACGTTACCTCAGTATCAACAGGATCCACTACAGTGTCCTGTAGGAACTTGACCATGACGAACTTCTCCAGCAACTGAAGATTCTTCTTATAAGTCTCATTCACAGCCTTTAAAAGCAGAAAACATGGGATATTAAAAAACATATGCTACAGAAACATAAATTGATGACTGTGTGAAGCAACATTTACAAGAGGTTTGTACATTTTATCAACATAAATATACAGATTGGTGATAATTTAAAGGAACACAAAACTCTCTCCACATTTCTTTTTTACAAATCAATTTGAACTTTAAACTGACAAAATAAAACTAAGTCACCTTTTATAAAGAGTTTATAAGTTCTGACTAATAGATTTATTCATTGTCAATGAATCCTTTACTCATGCTTTCTATTTAGTAACAATGTTGTTACAAATGTTGTTAAACCATTAATAAATGCTTGTTAAGCTTTCATTAAATCAGATCTGCTGCAGGCGTTTACTGCAAGCGGTCGGATGACTCTCCCTGATTTTTTACAACCTGGCAACCTTATTAATAACTTATAAGTAACTGATCTATGACAAATTATTTATCAACCATTAATAAAGCTATCAGCTACAACCTTTTCTAAAGGGTGACTTATTAGAAAGTGATACCAAATCTATTTACTTCTTCCTTCTGGAGCTTTTACCACATCTCACAGTCTTCATCAGTGCTAAACTACTTTTTCCAAGTTGAAGAATAAACCTATTATTTCCCAGTAGCAAAAGCTTGTCTGAACTCATTATACTGGATTAATGCCTCCAGGTCTGATCTGCTTTAGTGAAAGTGCTGCGGCCGCATACTGACCCGCTCCTGATTGATGTCGGCCAGGAAGAGGCTGTGCTTCTTGTACAGGTCGTCATTTAAGGGGTCATGCCAGTACTGCGCCTGCACCAGGCTGATAACCACAAACACAACATCCAGTCAGTGCTACAGATCAGTTCAACTGACAAACAGACTATTGTTCTGTAGATCTGTACAGTGGTGGTGATAGACACAATCAGCATCACTGAGACGTTGACATTCAGAGATTAAGGAAAGATAACTTACTGTTTTTGAACCAAGTCAGTGTAAGCTCCACTGTTCAGAGCCTTGCGGATCATGTCACAGATGTGGGAGCTCTCTCCGGGACACCTGGGCAGCCCGTACACTCCTGAGGATTCAAAAACACACAGTGAAGATGTCTGCAAACAGAGATTGTGATGATTCATATTCACGACGTCTTCCGGAGCTTAAAAAAACCATATGGAGGAACTAAATACAGGTCAAGACACAAATTCTTCTTTAAAAGAAGAAATTTGAACAAAAAGGACATTCATTCTGTCAGCGGCACAAAAATACATAAAGATCATGTGATCGAAAGCTCCAGGAAAAAGAAGAATTAAGTACTACTTAAGGTTAAAATTTTACATTTTTTAAAAAATGATCAAACAATGTTAGGAGCAACTACAGGACGTTCTTTGTCTGCTGAACACAGTGTTTTTGAACACTGAAGGAATCCTAACTGGGAGAATCTGACTGCAATGGTGGTGAAGACAACAACTCCCATGACCCCACACTACTTCACGATGTCATTCATTCCTTAACTCTGCATAATAAGTAAAGAAAGGGGTAAAAAAGAGAAATGTTTTTTAGTGCTAGCTTTGCCGAGGGAAGTGAGCTGAACTGGTGTTCTGGTTTTTCACCGTGACACTACCTTGGTGCTGGCCACCGATGGAGATCAGGTTTTTCATTGGTGGAGAGGGACAGCGCTGGGCCACAGCTCTCCTGAGAAGAGAGGAACCAGGACAAGTCAGAGTGAGCTTCCTCATTCTTGTCAGGAGACAAATACTTCAAAAGCAGAAAATAAGCTCAAACAGATCTGCAGCCTGAGAATGAAGCTCAGGACTTGAACCTTACTAGCTGAAATCATGCTGTTCTCTAACATATTGGTATTTCTTAAGTATTTCATTCACTCTGCAGGAGAATCACGCAAGAGGGGAAACCACACAAACACAGAAGTTGTCCATTTTCTACCACATTCACATAACAAAAGCATTCAGTGTCCAGAACAGTGGGTACATACAGAAACTGTGCCCCCTGGGAGAAGCCCATAGCATTGTATCCTCCCTTCAACTTTGGGTCCTGAGCCAGCTGAGCGCACACCATGGACACCTGCTCATTCACATCCATGAAAAACCCATTTTCTGTGTCCTGCATGAGGGGAGACATGAAAAGTTCAAAGCATGACAGGCACATTAAGAAGAAGAAAACGAGCTCCGTCCACAAGGGTAAGAGCCGAGAGATTTAAGTCACGGTGTTACGACGGATCAAAGCAAAAGGCAACAGAGTCATGCTGGTTTGGCTATGAATATTAACACTGAAATATTACATAGTGAAGTTGTAAAGGAGCCATTTTATTTTTTTTCTGATGTAACTTGTGCCACTAGCCCTGCAAATATCAGTGAATAGGAATCCTTACATATCATGTGGACGTATCAATCGAACACCCCTATGTCACTATTAGTTACCTTGTGATAATGAGTTGAATTGCTGTTAATATTAATGTTTCTCTATTTCTCTGTACCTATTTCTGCACTTATCTTGTGACTTTTTGCTCCACGTGTCATTATTAAATAAACATGTCACATTTTAACATGTAGTGTGTGTTTATGCAAGAAAACCGGACTTTTCTATTGAAGGCAGTGATTAATTAATTGATTGATTTAATTAAGTCTGGAGTTACTGAGCAAGAGAAACACTGTAAAACAACCTTATAGACAAAAAACAACATTTAAATGCTCTGCCATACAAAAATAATACAAATTGTCAAAAAAAAAAAAGAGTGTGCAGATCTTGTTTTCTACTGCAACGTAAAATGTTTATTCTGGCGACCCCTGTGGACAAAAGTGGTAGTGTTTTCAAAGGGAATCCGAACCTGTGGCGGGGCATTAAGAATAACTATAAAGAAATAGCCAATCTTCTCCCTGATGGTCTCCTTTGCTTATGTAGGTCATATTAGAGGCATCAGGATTAAATTGTAGTAGGTTTAAAGTTTAAAGTTTTAGCACTGACTAGGAAATATATTCACTTTAAAAGGTTTTCCAGTGTGAAAGTACCTGAATGACGTTCTTTCCGATCATCAGTGAGAGCACGTAAATGCCGGAGATCTCCTCCTCAACCATCTTCTTTATCGACCCCATGCTGAGCGGGTTACAACAGCTGTCACCTGGAGTGGACACATAAATATTCACTTTATTATCATTTAAAATATTAAATAAAACCATCAGTAAACTGACCCTACTAACAAGTATTGTCAAAGCCAAAGCCAGATATAGCTTACATTAAAAAATATTACTGTACTGGCACTTAATACAATAAAATATAATAATATATACACTATATAGAGTAAAATATAATAAAATAAGCATGTATATATGTAATTGTCCCTAGAAAATGCACTGTTTTTTCCTGTTTGAGCAATGTTTGTTAAGAAGTGGGGACAAAAGGGGTTGTGTGTGATAGACAGGGCGGGGAAACTGGACAGAAAAAGATGGACTGGATTGGATTCATTGACAATAAGATAAATATAAAGGAACTCCTTATCATCTAACCTTATCAGAAGAAGATGGTCATAAACAAAAGTTCTTTTTCAGAAATATTCTGGCTTACATTAACATCTGTTAAGCTAATAAGGAATCAGACAGCAGGTCAGTGCACAGCGCAGTCCTCTGCTGTTAAAACACAGACGCTTCGGTGGATCATAACAGGTTATGTAACCTAAGAGAGGGACCTCAGAGGCACCTGAGCCAGTGTTGTTGTTGAAGGAGAAGAGAAAGTGTTTTTGTTTTTTTCACTTCCCCTGACAGTATTTTCCCAACCACCATGGAATTAAACTTACAACTTTCCAGTCGTAAGCATAACTGAGGCTGCACACCACACCTTATCTCACATTACGGGTTATATGCTTTGTATTTTAACACTTGTTCTTGTTTTTATGCTTTCAATTTCACCTAAATGTAGGCAGTAACATGTGTGGATACATAATGTATTATCATGGGACTTTCCAAACTTTCCCCTTTCTGTTCTGAAAGCTGTCTGAGGACCACAAACAGATATCACTGTTAACATTTTGTCTTTCGTGTCTCCTTATAGCCATAAGATTGTGACACAAAGGAGGCAACTCAAACATGTACACTGCATTGTGCAGAAAATGGAATCACAGTTAAATAAATAAATAATTATCGGTAGAAATTATTCCTGGTTTTGTTCACATGTCCAATTACACAGCTCCCTGCGGATGGATTTAATGCTGTTATTAAATCGGTATAAGAATGGGCAGCCACTCACCCATCCCATGCCACAGCACCAGTGGTACGGTCCCATTGTCGGGGTTATAAACTGGGCTGCCAGCAACCAGCAGCACCGGACCAGCCAGGAGGAAACACAGGAGCGCTGCTGCCATCCTGGACCCTGAAACAAACATATAGGAGGTCAAAGAGTGCATTCATATTGCAAAATCAGATTCTCCCTTCTTCACTTTTTACTATTGTAGCATTTATACAGACTGTTATCATAACAGATCCTTCCAATCTCTCATCTCGGCCCTGATAATTCAGTGTAACCTGCCTCTGTATGCATTCATTTATCTCTGTAATGCTTTTCTTAAGCATTAACTTTAAAAATAGGTTTGTTGTGTAGCTGTTACACACGTTTTTGTCAAACTTTGTACATGCATTGTTCTCTCTTTCTCCTAATAATACAATTAAACATGAAGTAAAATGGGAAAACACAATAAAATTGATTGTGTCTAGCAGAATGTGCTGTTACAGACATGTGAAACTAAGCTGTGTGCATTTCCTGTTATCTACAAAGCTTTCGATTCATTATAAAGGACACAGAGACTGTCTCAGATATATCAGCACAACAACGAGGCTTAAACAGTGAAGCAGTCCAGGAACAGCAGCGACACGAGTTAGACACACTTTCAATGAATCACGAACAAGCTAAATAACTAAATCAAGGTTTTACATCCAATAAATCGATAATGAAACACATTTTTAAAAGTGCAGCAGCAGATTTACGCTATAAAGAAGCTTAAAATCAATCCAACATTTTAAAAAAGCTTATAATTTTAACGTAAAAAGCAAAAGAAAAAACATAAAATGTCTAAAAAAAAAAAACATTACTCACCGTTTGTGTTCTTCCTGCTTCTGTCCGTCGGACTGCTCGTCACATGACTATGTTTGGAGCGAACAGCCAATCAGATTCAAGAGGGGGCGGAAACGTCTAACTTGTGACTCGTCTTTTTTTTTTTTTTTTTTTTGTTGTTGTAATCCTACCTGTTTCTAAATCTGATTTAACCAGATCTGTGGCGATATTATGGCAGCCTAACATCTTGGCAACTTATATCTCAAACCCCGCGCGGATACGTCACGGTCTCACGGTGCATTTTAACTAAATAAACACCGCGGTCTCCGGCTTAGCTTGCCATGCTAGCTCGTCGTGAAATCCGACAACAACATTTACAGCCCGCGTTGTTTTCAGCCAGGTAACTCCGATGTTTGACTGCTGACCGGCTTCCAACGGAGCACAGCCAAGACACAGAAAGCCAGGTAGTAAAGCACAGGATGTCTGTTCAGTATGAGGAGCCTGAGTTAACGGGAAGTTACGATGTTGTGGGGTCGTTTCCCAAAAGTTTTGGCTACGGGGTGGAGGAGGCAGACATGGAGGAGAGCTGCACATCGGCTGATAAACCCAGAATACTGCTGATGGGACTGAGGAGGAGTGGAAAGTCCTCTATTCAGAAGGTAATCCACCTGAAACACACACCTTTAAGCCATCAGCACACCTGGTGAGAGCTAAAGGTTTGTCAGAATCAGAAGTTTGTTTATTGCCCAGCAGGTTTGTGACCTGGTGCATAAAATATACAAATGTACAAATACAAATATACACATATACAAATACAAATGTACAAGTATTCAGTTATTCAAATCACACAGAAACCACACAGAAAAATAAAGTACTTTCCAAATATAAATAGATAGAGATAAGAAAGATAAGAAGAGAAAACTGTGCAGAAGAAGCGTCGTTTGGACGCTGGATAATGAATATAATACAGTAATATGGTTGTATGAATATAATATGGATTGACTGAAACACCAGGATATTAAAATCGTAATTTGACGTTC